GTGTGGTGTATTTTGCTCATGCTATGCTCGCTCCTCGCATTTTTTTCTGCTTTTACTCAAATGAAAAGTACTACAGCCGAGAAAAAAGTAAAGAAAACGAAAAGAAAACTTTATTTGCTGAACAAGCAAAAGATTCGACGGTTCGGTCTTTTTTATTTTAATATTTTCTTCTATTTTTCATAATTTTTCACAAACGAATACGCGCATATTTCAGTTTTCATTTGATCGTTATGTAAGCGTTAAGAAAAATCAAATGAAAATAACGGTTAATAACTTACAACGTTACAATTTTAAAATCGTAAACAAACAAATCATGATCGCAAGTAACTGACAGACTGTCAAAACAAGTGAGTGATTGAGTGAGTAACGTTCCAAGTGCGTGTCTCTACGTGTGTGCTTTTGTAATGACCGTGAAATTAAAGTTAAAACGAAAACAAAAATAATAAAATAAAAAAGAAAACGAACACAACAAAACGAAATAAACGAAATGCTGTGGTGTTCCATCAAGTGATTTCCAAATCTGTCAATACTAAAAATAAAATCTAACTAACAGCAACGAAATGGAATCCATCACACAAGCCATCTTGGGTACTATGGATTTCCTTAGTTCAGCCTCAACTAACACAGGAGTTTGTGAGGCTCCCTCATCAAAGGCTACAGAGTTGATCTCTTTGCTTGTCAAGCCTGATGTGTGCTTAAAAGATGAAGCTCCCTCCTGGAAATGTTTGTACAAATTAATGGACTTTTTTCAATTGTTTCTACACACAATATTGCCTTACATCTCTTTGGCATCAGAACATTTTTCAAATGTACAGCACTCTCTTGCCGGTTGGCGAGAACAACTTTACTCTCACTATCAATTGTACTCAAACATTTTAATGAATGATCAATTGTTTGTATTTGCTCTCAAACTTTCATCGCTTCTTTTGTTTCTCTTCATGATGCACTGGTTGAAACAAATTAGCACAAGTACCCATGAAATTCCACAACAACAAGAAAAATCGCACATACAAGCTGCCGGTAATGGTGGTCTAGCGCTAGAGAGCCTCAATGAAGTTATAAAACCTCAAACTATTATTTGTGAATTTGAATTTAAAACTCCTGGCGAACTGCGTGCAGAAGCGAAGGCAGTTAATAGTGTTATGCTCGATATGGAGGAGAAGAAACGTCGTAAAAGGTTTAGTAAAAAGCGCAAATGTGTATCGGCTGGTCCAATTTTAATACACCTTAGACAGGCAAAGAAAAACAAAAAACCAATAGCTATTCCTCAGCCTTATGTTGTAGCGATGTTGCCGCCAGAGGAGGCCTGTGATCATTATTTACCTCTGCGTTCAAAACCTCTAGTAGTGGGTAGCGGAAAACCACAAGCTGTGGTGATCAATAACATTTCAATGGATCATGAGGAACCAGATATTGCTTACATGTGTGTGTATATAAATTAGTTTAAAATTGTAATTAAGTTTTGTTTTAAGTTAAAGTGTAAGAAGTGATTTTAAGGGGCTACGAAAATGAAGATGGACAAATTAAATATCTATAACACTTAATCGACTATTAATTTGTGCCAATAGACTCGAACTTCTTATGTATATATAACATAATTATATGTATACAAATATTTCCGATGTTTATAAAATTTGAACGTCGAGCCATCGACCATTATCATCTACCTAAATGGACAGTATTGTATCTCTCCAGATTCTCACCTTGATAAGATCGAAATGTATTCTCAATTACATTTACTCCCTGTTCCAATATAGGTTGGACTTGAGAGCACTCTGAAACCGCCAGCGAATGTACAATCCTCTAAAATTCTCGAGTCCTAGGCTTGACAGAAAAGGTATTTTACATTTTTTCTTTTGTCCTTTAATGGAAATTCGTGAAGTCTTCTTATATGCATATTTCTTAGGAACTATATAATTAGACGCATTACCAATCAAATAGGCTACGGCTGCTTTAATGTAAATGTCTAGTTCTATAATCGCAATTAGACACACGTTTATTCCACATACGGACAATACGATTGAATAACGAATTCTCTTTATAGTGCATTATGCAATCCACATATGGGTGTGTTAACGATTAAAAATGTATATTACGCATAAATATTCGGATTTAGGGACAAGTTTCCTTATTTCAGAAGTATCGATAGAACAGTGAGACACACCACCATTGCGACGGTGCTCCATTGAATCAATTGAATTGGATACCCTACTGTCACCGATAAGCCTACGCCCTCTTCTGTACGCGGTCGATTAGCTCCTAAATAGACTTGCACCGGCCCATACATGAGAGTTGTATTCCATTTTAGGTCAATGTAGTTAGTTAGTTAGTTTGAAAGGAGGATGTATATACATCAAATCCGAAGAAATACACCTAGGTCTCTATCGGGCCTGTTGTGCGCTCCTTAACCAGTGCCTCAGGTGGGAATCGTACCCACCACCTCCGGTGGCCTCCGGTAGGTTAGTGGTTAGTGTTCTAGGTCAGTGTATGTTTAGGGACAGGTTCCCTAATTTTAGAAGAACACATTACATTGTAGTATCGGTAGAACAGTGAAACACACCACCATTGCGACGGTGCTCCATTAAATTGATAGAATTGGATAACCTACTGTCACCGATAAGTACCTTCGCCCTCTCCTGTACGCGGTCGAATAGCCCCAAAATAGACTTTGAAGCACCATACATGAGAGTTGTATTCCATTTTGGGCAGATATAAGTGGTGTAGATATTAAGAAGATCGGATGGAGTGAAGTATTACTTACATCGTTTTAAAAAACCGAGACATTTGAATGCATTGATCGAAACTTGAAATATTTGTTTAGACCAACGAACATCAGACTGTATTCCCATGCCCAAAACATCAAGAGCTTCTGATTTTTTACTATTTACACCAGCAATAAATATGGATGAAGCAACATAATCGTTCTAATGAGCTTTGAAATACATATGTTAAGTGCGTCATTCGTGTTTCATTGTCTCAATCTCCAAAGAAAGGACATGGTCTATAAATGAATGAGTAAGAATGACAAAGTAGATAGGGATGAAATTTTGACATATGTCATTTAGAAATATGGATTAGAGTAGGATAAAGAACGGTACCCCTGAATTTATATTAATATATATAAATATATGTATAAATCCCCTTCGTATAAAGCGTTCTCTGAAGAAGCTCGATATATGTAAGTCGATAGAAGTAATTACCGACACCAATAAATAGCAAAAAAACAAAAACACTTTGATAAAATTCTGAATAAAATGAAAAAGCATTTTTATATACTTCAACTTCGTGACAAGAGATTTTCATTCCTTGAAATTTCCACGATTTAATTTTGCGATTCCATAAAGTATATACGTATATTCCGAATCCTTATAGATACGGAAGCCCATTTTGCTTTATCCGCCCGTCCTTGTGTTTGTTGCAATCAAGTTTCCTCGTTATTGGAATGTCGTATAATTCCATTAGACATTAGGGGAACGAGCAAAATTTCGAAAAGAACCATTATTTTTGAAGAATTTTAAATATGTTTCTATAATAGGAAAGATATTCAAAATACATTTCATTTGATATATATTTTGTCTATAAAAAGAACCATGTGTTTTTGATATACATAAATCCGAAAATGTGTTTTTTGAGGATTTTTCAAATATGTCAATCATTTAGAAACATAAGTTGTTTTTTTATGGGTCATCAGCTCATACATAGGTGCTTTGATTTTAGAGGAATGTATAACTTATAAAGGTTATACATTGTTATAAAGCATGTTTACAATATGCGGTATCTATATGGTGATATGATATTTGTAGGTGATAAATGACTGTCCATTGCAGGTTCATTCTTGTTCGATAAGGGTCTTACCGTTAGCTGTATGCTGTAAAGCGTTGTTGAAAGTCAGTTGCCTAGTACACGCATGTCGTCACTGTGGGGTTGTCCGTCTGATCGTACTTATTTGTGTGATCAAAATAAACCCATTGTACGAGGTAGGTCTATCAGGTACTGGGAGTACTACAGATACTAGACAGAACAATAGCATAAATAGAGTATTAATATAGGGACTAGTGTTTTGGCTCTGAATTACAGTTTGATTGGTATGTATTTACTGAGGGTTGTCGGTCCGAAGTTTATGTGGTAGATAGCTACTTTAAATTATCTTATAGACTTCTGGATGAATTTAGTGTCTTTTAGGCAAAGATCTTAACGATCTGGATGCTACAGGTAGTATAAAGGCACACAGCGGTACTGGGTAGCAGTGAAAATGTATGTTGATAGTCAGGCAGAACTTAGAACTTTAAAATATCATCAAGTAAAGTTTTGGGGACCAGGATGAGGTGAATGAGATAACAGATGAATTGTCCTGACGAGGATCAAATCTGGACGGTTAAACTAACTATTTGTCATTACTATAGGCTGATTTCCGAAAAATTCTGGGAGCCTACCAACCGATTCTGGCGCAGTAGCGTATTCAAGTTCTTGAAGCACGAGTTGATTACTAAAGCAATCAGAATACTATTATTACTGGATAGGAAGAGTATAAGGATTCTTGTAGGGGTATGGACCGGTTGGGGTATGGTAACCAGTATGGACCGAAATAAATAGGATTTTTGTAGAGGGTGTCTAAAATGTGTATAAAATGTAAATGTCTTAGAATAATGTAAATGTCCTATAGTAGAATAAATCTGAGGCAGAAAGTGCTAGGGAAAGATTATACGATAAATTAGGAAATGTAGATGAAGGTAACTCCTCGGTTTTATCAGAGGAATAGGGTGGCTATTCAGGTGTCGAGAATTTCCATCTAAAAAGTAGAAATACTTTCATATATATTGATCGGAATTCAATTCTTCAATATTCTTATTTTTATTTATTTATTTTAAAGAGAATCACAATAGACCTCTTAGATCTCTTATTGGATGTTTTTCACATATTTTAATTTTAATAGCTAAATATAAGTTAAGCAATTTTTTAAAATCTAATAATATTTGTAAATTTTTCGATTTAATTTCTAGATCTGAACCTCGTGGTACTTTAAGTACAACAGATGAAATTTTCCCCGACTCACCCGAAAGCAGTTTATACGGTTCAGACGAAGAGCAGGAGGATGTAGCGCAGTATTGTCGTGGTGGTTACCATCCAGTTGTTATTGGTGATATATTTGATAATCGGTTTCGAGTGGTACGCAAACTAGGATGGGGACACTTTTCCACCGTCTGGCTATGCAGGGATCTCAAGTAATATACATTGCTATAAAATATCAAATTCTAAAGAAATTTATTACAATTTTTCTTTGCAGAGAGGAAAAGTATGTAGCTTTAAAAGTGGTTAAAAGTGCCCCTCACTATATAGAAACGGCAGCAGATGAAATACGATTGTTAGAGGCAATACGTGATGCAGATCCTTTGGATGTTAAACGCGAACGTATTGTACGTTTACTCAATCATTTCACTGTACGCGGTGTTAACGGCGTCCATACCTGTTTGGTGTTCGAAGCATTAGGTTGTAGTCTTTATAAATTGATCGTAAAGAATAACTATCAAGGTTTGGCGGTGGCACAAGTTCGTAATATAATCAAACAAGTCCTAGAGGGTTTGGACTATTTGCACAGTAAATGTAATATTATACATACAGATATAAAACCGGAAAATATACTATTGGTGATAGATAATGCAGCAGCAATGAATCAACAAATCGATGATGAAATAACTAGTTTGAGAATAAAGGGTGTTGATTTTCCAGATTCATATAGTATGTTATCAGAAGTTTTAGTTTTGCATTTTAGTAAACTTCTTAAACTTTTTCCATTTGCAGTTAGTTCCATAGAAAAACAAACGAAAACACGAGCCAAATGGCCATTACAAAACATCGAAATGAATGCAGCTAATACCACAACCAATACAGCTAATAATTCTGCCTCATCGACACCTCTACCGCCGCCTCTAAATGTGGGAGTTGGTGGTGGTGGTGGTTCAAACTTAAGTGGTGACAAAGAAGATACATCGTCATTAACCTCGAAATACTCTAGTCTAATGGGTGATAGCATAGAGGGCAGCAGTACTGGAGGTGGCAACAATACAACATCAAATACAACGGGAAATCTAAATAATCGTTATCGCACAGAAAAGAAAATCACTGCCAAGGTAAGTTATCGCAAAACAAATCTTTAACACTGTTCTTGTTATGAGCCTAATAAAGCACTGGAAATGTAATTTATAACAATTTCAAATCCCCGAATTTGTTTTTATATGAAAATGCCAACAATACCAGCTTGTTTGTGTACAATTTTTTTATAATTTTTATTAAAAATATTTTCTATTAATTTTTTTTTTAAATGCACCCTACACAAATACACACACACACTAAATTAAATACACCTATGAATGTATATTTAATTAATTAAACACACAAAATATTGTATAAATAAATGTTTATAATCTCAAAATCGATATAAAAAAATGAAAATTTCCCAACATCAAATCACCATTTTGAAAAAATTATCTAAAATCAAATGAAAACACAGTCTATTGATGAAGCAGAAGAGATTGGCATAGAGACAAAATTGAATCAAAACAATTCTAATAATGACAACAACAATTTTGATAATAATAATGCTGCACCACAAACGGATTGTGAAATTAATCCTTTAAATTCAGCAACAATAAATGATAACTCAAATATTTCTACTACAACAAAAAAACAAACTGATGATGATTATAAAATGTCATTTGAAACAACAACTACAACACCTTTATCATCTCCTCCACCATCAATAATAAAACCAACAATAACATCAAACACGACTTTAATGTCATCAAAGGTAACGGTTGCACTTCTTCATATACTGTGTTAAAACTGCTCTCGGAAAATTCCTTTCCTTTTTTTATTATAAATTAAATTCTAATACTTTTTATTACTTATGTATTAATAATTTACTAACTAACGTATTTATGTACATTAGGGTGGTTCAAGTAGTCTTATTTACTGTGAAAATTTGAGTCAAATCGGCTTTGATTCTGAATCAAAGTATATTAGTAAAGTGACGACAGAACTACAACATTTACAAAAACGAATGGCAATTTGTTTATGTTATTCAGTTGTCATTCGTCAAAATTAGCTTGTTGTGCTTGTTATACACTCGTCATCTGTCAAAGTTGAAACCCAGAGACCAAACTATTCATTTCAATAGTATTGAGTTCCGCTGAATCCGATTCTAATTCGTAGGATTTATAAAGCACACCAAGTTTTCTAGATATAGTGTTCTGAAGTTTGAAAGTGTAATCGACTGAATGATTCAAGTTTAATTAATTTTAAGAGTAAAGAAAAGGAGAATAAGTTTTTTTCTTGATATATGAACAATTTGGAACCCATAGACCAGTTATGTCACTATTCTCGTGGATATTGTGACACTTTTTGCTGTGTCGTAACGGCCAACCCCGCGGGGCATGTTTCCTTGATGTAAGACCCTCACCTTAATGTATTGCAATTCCAGGGTAAAAAGGTGCTACCAGACCTCTAGTCTGCCGGGACTATAAATTGTTGATGTTACTTCACCGCTCGGCTAGTCCTTGGTATGATTTGACATGGGGTCTCACCAGAGAACCACATAATCTGGTACTACGGTTGGCCAGCTGCCCGCAGGACTTGTCCTGGCTGGTCAGTTGGTTGAGGTTTCTTCGGGATCCACGTAGTGTCTGTGGTTTAAATCCAAATTCGCGGAAAGAGAATGTTGGTTTAAGGGCTGATATATCCTATACATAATGCCTTGGTTAACTCTCTTTTCAAATGACACAGGTCTGTGTACAAAGCAGCATATACTGGATTCCTGAACAGGTAGGGAGCCGGTATATGCTGGGGAATTGTCATTCCGTAGAGAGAGCTTTATGATCATGGGAATGGAACTGATGCGAAAATTGGTGAAATATCGGGAAAGTCTCCATATGTTGGAGATTAGTACTGCTTCGGGGAAGTTTCTCGGTGCTGTTGCCTTCTCAACAGGATATATTGATTCATGTTACGCGACTTTTTGTCGACGTAATTATTGGGTTCAGTTGAATTTGAAAATTCGTACATCCTTTGTCACAGATCGGTTCATGGAGAGGGATTATTTCTAGGTGCTGTTGCCATACTAACAGAAGCCATCTCAGTAGTGTGGTTGCGATCGGTTCCAAATACTGTTTACCTTTGGCTGTAAGCTTGAAAGGAGGATATATGTTACATAAGATCCACTATGGGACCCGTTGTGCGCTACTTTATCAGAGGTGGCAATCAAAATCTCCCTACTGACAGTCTACAACACTACCAACTAAACTAAGAAGGTGCATACCACCGTTCAGTATCATTTGAATAAAATTTTCGCAGTGAAAGATTTTTATGAATTTTTTTAAAATAAAATACACTTTACTACCCTAATGTACTATTTTTACAATATAGCGTACATTTTGTACAATTATAGCTACAATAAAATGCTTTATTACAAGTTACGATCGCTATTTATTCTAAACATGATTTCTTTTGTGTATTGCCATCATTACAGTTGTTTTTTTTTTTAATATCAAAAGTGTGCCGAATGGAATAATACTAAGAAACCTGTGATATTATTCTAATTTACACTCATTCTAATAAAAATCATGTATTTCATCTATTCATTTTGTCAAATATTATCATTATGATCGTTCTCCTTTAGTATTTAGTGTCACGTCAGAAGTTACCAAAATGTTGTGTTTTATTTTCCAATTTATATTGTAATATCATCATGTTTCTTCATATTTGTAAATTATCTCCATTTGTGTCATTATTTTACTAACATTTTCTCTTCTTTTTTCTTTTTTTTTATAATTAAACTTCAATCTGTACAGCAATTCTATAATTCCGATTTAAAAGACTTTGCCATAAATGAAATCTAGTCGTCGTCTACATTATTTCCAATAATTTACGAAATGTTATCATCTGATTTTTGACTAATGCCTTATGAATACGCTTAACCAGATATTTCCAACCTCTTTGTCTTTTGGCCGACTGCAGGTTGATGATGCTATCGACCCATCACTCTTTCGAGTGTTAGCCGGGCTGATGGCAGCATCCACCTGTTGTCTCCAGAGAGTGAACCAACCCAGAATGTCAGAAACTGGGCTGTATATTCTCTCGAATCTAGCGACGATTTGTCGGTTACTCTCCTTTGACGAGAACTTTGAAGAATTAGTCTTTGCAATCTTCGACAGAAAGGCGAGAGACCTCAAAGTCTCGTTCTTTGCCTTCTTCTCCTTCGTTCGGCCTGTATCATATCTCGTGGACGGGTGCTTGGCTTCTCTTCCACGACTACTTGCCGAACGAACTGTGGACGGTCTTCTTCCAAATGTCCCCTTTGGATTCCCTTGGACTCATAAGTAGGGTATGTAATCTTATCAGTCTGACCGTTAGCAAGCTCATTATCAGACAGAGATAAATTCCCCAAGTTTCACCAAAGGATTCACTTGATACCTCCAGAATAACCTCCACGTTTAAGTCAGTCAGTACCTGACCTTCATGCTCAACAATTCGGGCATGAAGATCAGTAGGGGTAACGTCACCGTCCTCTCAAGTACTGTCCAACTCCCCATCATCCTCGTTGACCGTGACGTCCAGAATGTCTTTACTTAACAGGTCGACCATCCCTTTCCGTCGTGTCCCTACTCTCATCCTTTGTTGTTTTTAAATTTGGTTCTTGTATTTTGAGTACCATGTGTATACAACTAACTTACAACCTCGCTTTGCCATAATGTTGAGGGGTTCTGTTAGCGACTAGCCTCTTTAAGCACTGGCTGGCCATTCAGGAAATCGGCACTGCTACCACTCACCTTGACCTTAAATCTGGAGGTCCAGACAACGCGTTCTATGCTTCTTCGTATTCTACACGGCTGTTAAAAAAGTAGAATCAATGTTGTTGTATGTAACAAGTTACAAGCACAAAAGCGTAGGATGCCTTGACGCGTAGAATGCATAAAGTAGACCTACTTTTTAGCGTAATAAGCGGCGCACGAACATGTCAGCTGATTTTGACAATTTATATACTATTTTGAATGCGTATTATCAATTTTAATAAACTATAAACGAGTTAAATTGTGAAAATATAAATAAAAAACTTAAAATAACGCGAAGTTCTATATAAATAAAGCAAAAAATTGACGTTTAAGAAGCGTTGCATGTAACTTGATGAAGTGTGGACTTCCAGCTTAAAAGTGCCTATATAACGCTATGCCTAACGGTAAAGAACTTACTGCCCAAACGAGCGAGCCCGATTAGAAAGTGTATCATATATGTCATGATAGAAGAAAGTAGGATTGTAAGCCACATACCACACTCACTATCTTGATAAGATGAGTAAGTAACCTTTAGTTATACACTTCATTAAAACCATAACTTTCCATGTTGTTGCTAATAGAATCTCCGTGTAATCATACGCATATTAGTGCCCTTGATGCGTATATATTCGAATATCCCTATTAAATACTGCCAATTTATGGCCGATATTTCAGTTTGTAGTATAGACCATTAATTTTTAGTTCTGAACCAAAGTTTACTTCAAATTCCGGGTTGAAAACTTTAACACCTTGTGTCTTAGCTCTTTTTTTTTTTTTTTAAGCTGTCTATATTTACAGGCAGGCGCTAGGAAGGATAGGCCATCCTCGAGTAGAGGAAAAAATAAAAATTTGCCAGTAATAACCCTGAGATTATATTAAGGTAGTCTTTAGATAACATATCAAAACATTTGATCGAAGGAATTAAAAAAATACTAATATTTTCCTATTAACCATATAAACATTACATTACTTTACATATTTACATTATAATAGTTGTTTACAAACATGCATATTTACATACATACATTACAAACACTTATTTACTTCATTTCTTTACACACATTCATATCAATTCTATATATTTTTTTCTATAACAAAATCCATGTCTACTAACAATCTGTGAAAATTGCAATTATATTTTCCAATAAATGCTTTATTATTATAAATGTATAATTTATTTATTTTCACACCACATCTTTTGTTTGAAATAATACAGAAAAAAACTCGAAAAAAAATAAACAAATACTTACTTTTAATAGTAGGTATTCTCTTGCTAAGTAAATAGTAAATACAAAAATAAACTGCGTCATTTAATGTTTTTTATATGAATGTTTGCACCAACATTTTGTTTCTTTGCGTTCTTTTTTTTCCATTTCTTTTTATGAACTAAACAAAAAATGTACAATAAAAAAATATAAAAAAAAACTAAATCACAGCCGCCCACTGAAACCACACCAGGTTCAGATATAGAACAAACAAATAATAAATTAAATAATACCAATACTACAATTCCTCAGACTCAATCCTATACGAATGCCATACAATCGTTAATCAATAATACGAATGTACGAGTGAAAATTGCCGATTTGGGTAACGCTTGTTACGAGGTAAGTTGTCTTTATTTATATCTTAAAATAAAATTCCCCTTAAACTTAATTTGTTTTCTTTTGTTGCCTTTTTTAGTATCATCATTTTACGGAGGATATACAAACCCGACAATATCGTTCGATAGAGGTTCTATTGGGAGCACCTTATAACTATACAGCCGATATTTGGAGTACGGCTTGTTTGGCATTTGAATTGGCAACGGGAGATTATCTATTTGATCCTCATGCTGGTGAAACCTATTCTAGGGATGAAGATCATTTGGCTCATATTATTGAGTTGCTGGGTACAATACCGCCTTCGGTGATATTAAGAGGAAAACATGGTCTTAAATATTTTACTAGTTATGGTAAGACTCTAAAATATAAAGTTCTAGTAAAAAGTTATCTGTATATGGTAAATTACGGTTATAAATTTCAACCATATTTGTAGCAAAATGGCGAATATTTTGAAAATGATTCAGCCGATTTTAAATATTTTAACGGATTCTTGTTTAGCATATACAAATTACTAGGTTAGGTTATATTAGGCTGAAATAAGGATGTATGCTTCATCAGGCCCGAAGAAATGCACCTAGGCCGCTATTGGGCCTTTTGTGCATTCCATTATATGTAGTTATTATCGTCCGATGTTCAGAAACTTAGTTTCCTGGACAGATTTTCTTATAATTTTCTAATCAGCGTTGCAAAGGGATGTAATAACTGAAAGAACATCGCTCTCAAAATATTTGAACGAAATCCTAGTAATGATAAAGAAAGTGTTCCAGAGTTTCAATGTCCTCACACTGCTCCTTATTATTTTGTGTAGTTGTTTCCGTAATCCTGTGTATCCACTCATAATACATACCTTTTACAAATCTCGGATTTGATCATTAGTTAACCTGGTAGTTTATGCAAGGACCACTCCACTAGTGTGATTATATCCTATAGTAGTGAGATATCTTAATATCTATTTTAGTCTGGACTAAGATTATTCACCAATATTGGATATTATGTATTTCTCTTGACTTGTAACGCAGAGAAGGTGAAAGCAAGTTTCATCCCTTTCCCTGTCATTGTAACTGCGACAAAATTCGTTGACTTGCAAGTTTGTCTAGGGCCCAATGAAAAGTTGTTAATGTCAGCAACCTCGACATGTCCCGTGTGTTTCGGGTTAGAAGTTGTTTAGAGCATTTCTCATTGAAGAAAGTCGACATTAGCTTCGTCCCTCTTTATGTGTTCAGATTATTCAACTTATTTTCAGCCTTTTGAAGAAAGTACTTTAAGATACTACTTTTAATAAACTCCCAACGGAATTACAACAATAACAGCGTTGGAGATATTCAAAATAGTTTCCATAGTAGTACTAACTCTGAACAATCTTTAGTCGGATGGTTGGTTCAAAGCTGAGGGCAATAGGCTTAAAATCCTCGTGTGTCTATATTTTCATCATCCTGAAGCGTTGCATTCCGACAGCGTTTCTTGTTCTCCTCTGATTGCCCACAGGGTCATTGCGGTTCTACCAACAGTTTTATTAATCTAGGTGGCCTATGAGATTCTCTCTCGCAGCCCACCTTCGAACGGTTTTGCATTCCTCAGGTTAACTTTATCTAGTTTTCATCTCTTTATATTCATTCGCGCTTTCGTTGCCGATTGTTTTTAAGAATCCTGGTATCTAAATAATGCAAAGCTTACATTTTCGGTTAAGACCCGAATGTGGGTCCCCAGAATCGTTTTGCCTCTCGTATGCTCGAGCACGTCTAGTGTTTGCTTCCTTAGTCATTACTCCTTAAAATAAGAGCCGTTTGACTGCATGTTCCACCCCATATCTTAGCTCTTATAACCCTATTTCTACCTAAGCAAAGTGTGAACTGAACTCCCTGAAGTAGGTTTTTATTAAACCATTTTTCAAAGAAGTCCTCCAGATTTTTAAAGCATAATTTATAGTTGGTCTACTCACACTTTTATAAAATATGTCATAGTGGGACTAAAGCTCTCTTATATAGCGCTCCCAGCACCGATATGACTTGTCGATTCTATTCTATATATGTATTGTGACTCCATTTTAGTTTTCGGTCAAGGATTACACATTAGTACTTAACACAATCGGTCACCATTATATTCCTCCACTGGATTTAATGTATTCACATATTTTCGTCATGTTTCGTCTTGTGAGAAGACGAAAGAAGATCATTTTAGCAGAGTTAACATTCAGTTCTCTCAGTTGAGCATAGCTCTAGTCCTCGTTCAGGTCCCCCACGGACCTTCGATACAAGTAACTTAGATACTTTATACTTATAATTATTACGACATCGTCATCTACATTACAGATAGGTTAAGTTCATTATCAGTTAGTGTTCTCAGGTCGCTATTAATCTTGGTTACATTGATGAAAAACCCCATCTTTGTATTATTGCAATCCAGGTCGAAAGAGCTGCTAACAGTACCTCTAGTCTGCCGGAACTATAAATTGGTGATGATCAAATGCATACTCGACCTTTCCTTGGAATGATTTGACATGTGGTTGAACCAGAGAACCACATAATCTGGTACCACGTGAACCGGTAGCCAGCAGGGCAGAGTTTCGGACTTTTTATTGTCCCGGTTATTGGAGAGGTATCTTCGGGCTGCACGTGATGTATGTGGTTTAAGCCCAAATTTGCGGGAAATGAAAGTCGGTTAAAAGACTGATGCACGGTAAAGTCTATAATTCGGTATAAGTTCGATGCCCAAAACAACAGTGTTGGTATTAATTGTACATGATACAACTAACACTCGTATACTTAGAGTGAGAGTGTCGGATGTTGTTCTCTATAGAGAATAAATGAGAAGTGTCTGAGTTGAATGCTGATTGATGGAAGGTATCTTATACAAATGATACCATGGAATTTTCATTCCTTGTTCAGGTATGTTCAGGGTTTCCTTTGTTCACATCAGATGTACCATAGTGAGTTATCTGCGATTAAGAACAAAGTCCTCGGCTTATTTGATGAATCGCCTATCGAATACGTCTCTAGTTGCCGACTTAACAAAGACCATTCCATCTTACATCTCGGAAGTTGAGCAACGGGTCAACAATGGTCACAGATTAGTTAACTCGAGTACTTGAGCAAAGTTCTTGTACATAGACCAGCAGAACTACAAGCGTTGAAGAAACACAAAGGGCGGTGGTGAATCGCCCAGTCAACACACCCAGTGGTTGAAAAAGTACCACCATGAAATATGGCCAACATGGCGAGTGTTCACGTAAAGCACTTCGATATCTCCTCACCGTAACGATTACTCTATATTAACGGTTACTCTATAAACTGGTGTTTGATTTGAAAAGGGGTCTAACCAGAGCACCACATAATCTGGTACTAAGGGTGGCCAGATGCCCACAGGACTTGTCCTGGCTGGTCAGTTGGTTGAGGTTCCTTCGGGAACCACGTAGTGGCTGTGGTTGAAACCTAAATCGCAGGAAGGGGTTGCTTGGTTAAAGGATTGAGCAGTACAAACTACAGAGCATGACTGTGGATTAATAATATGTTGGATTTGAGCTGATAATGCAAGGATTGGGTATACGAGGTGGTGTTTTTGATGATTATTCGATGGATTTGACGGATGTAGTGATGGATGGAGTGGCGTAGGTGATGTGCAGAACTAAGGTTTGGCAAAACGGAGTGTGGTGAAAGGTCGTCACTGCCCTGTGTTGGAGTTTACTCTAAAACACGCTCAACTTATCACAGTGTGTCTTTGTGGCCACTTAAGTAAGGCTTGTCAATTGAAATTATCGGTGTTTCGGACTACCAATTACATCCCCTAGGTATTGATGCCGAATCAACAGAGCCATCTCAGTAGTGTGGTTAGGCGACATATAAGGTTTTCCTTTGTCGGGGTTAGATTGAACTTACTCATGACACCTGACCTTCCCCAACGGGACTACTATAGCAAGAGATTAGATACCTCGAGTACTTGAGCAAAGTGCACGTATACTCGACCGGACATCCATATACGTAAATTGCCACCGGCGTGTAAGAAGCACAATGGGGCGATGGTGAATCGTTACTTTTATACTCACCCAGTGGTTGAAAAAGTCCACCGTGAAATAAGGCCCTCAGGGCAGGTGTTCATGTAAAGCACTTCGACATTCATGCCCATGTCATCGAGCACAGATTTTAATTGATATTCGATACTTCATTTTACTATACTTCTGCATACAAAAGTTTCCGGGAGTCTCGTTTGGCTTTTTTTTAATAATTTATTCACCATCGGGTTGAAATTTTTTGGTACAATTCGATCCTTAAAATCCTTCGGACTATTCTATCATCTGTTCTAATGATTTTTCTATAGTCTAGACTATTAACTAATTTAGGTATTATCCTTTAGACTACTCTATGAATTAGTCTGTAGACTAGTATATGGACTATGCCATAGACTATTGCCTAGACCATAGTCTAGTATATTATCTACTCTATTGGTTAGTATATAGAATAGTCTATTGTATAGTTTATTGACTAGTCTGTGGACTAGTGTGATATGTAGTCTAAATGGACTAGTTTTAGACTGGTGTATTGACTAAACTTAGGGCTAATATATTGATTAGTCTAATGAAGGATTTACAGACTCCTAAAGACGACTTGAAATGATTTCCTTTCATATTTTATTTCATTATCCTTTCTTCTCTTTATAGGAAGTCTACGCTATATAACGAAATTAAAACCCTGGAGCCTTATAAATGTTTTAATTGAAAAATACGATTGGGATCCAGTAGAAGCCAAAAAATTCTCCGATTTCTTATTACCCATGTTGGAATATAATCCAGTTATACGGGCCTCAGCGGCAGAATGTCTTACACATCCCTGGCTGGAGGAAAAAGAGGAATTTGTTTAATTAAATGCAACAAGAACAACAACAACAACAAAATCATTTATACTTATAACAACAAGAACAACAACATAATTTGATAGCTTTGATGAAATTAGTTTTAAACACAAAAACAAAAAACTTAAAAATAATTATAATTACAATTAATATTAAACCAAAAAAAAAAATTATTAAATTATTATTATATACAAACCAAACAAATACACATTATACATAAATATTTATATACATACATACAAGTCATACATATATGTATGTGTGTAGTTCATACATAGTAAAAAAATAATTAAAATTTATTACTTACACATACATATATACTTACATACATACAAATGTATATTATTTATAATTATTTTAATTTAGCATTAAAAAAAAGCTTTAAAGTTTTTTATTAAAATTAAAAGAAATTGTTGTGACAAACAATTTTATAGCATTAATATTAATTTGTTTTCGTCAACTATAAATTGGTTAAAAAGAATTCGAATATTAAGCAAAAATTGTCTGTTCTTAAAATTATTATTTCTTTAGAAAAAAAGAAGCTTTAATATAATTTTCTTTTTTAAATTATTAAAACTGAAAACTCAAACAAGACAAAATAATTAAACTCTTAAATTTAAAATATTAATAAATAAATATAACAATAAAATTTACACATTTAATAAAATTTATAAAAAATAATTATTACAAAATAAATTAAAAAAAAAAATGAAATGAATAAATACTGTAAGCCTATCTGACTGATTTAAATAAAAATATATAAATATAACAACAACAACAATATTAAATTTTTCAGCAACTTTAATTATTAAAATAAAAAAAATATTATTATTATTACAAAAAAAAGAAAAACAAAAATACATTTATAAAACATTTAAGAAAAAGTGAACAGAAAAAAACATTTAATTTAAACTAAATTTACGATAAAGAAAATATATTTAGTATAAAACAAATTAAACTTAAAACAAGGTAAAAACAAAATATTATTAATTTTTTGTAGAATGTGTTATAAATTATAAAATAAAAAACAAATCCCCCCCAAAAACAAACAATTGAAAATGAATAATTGTAAAACACTAAAATAAAAACATAATTAACTAGCTATCGGTTAAACCGATTGCACTATGGCTCTACACCCATAAAATTTCATAAAATTGCGATAATTGTATATGAACAATTATAATTATAAATTCCCAAAAAGTTGATATTTTTATCTTTTCGATTCTTTTTTAAACTTTTTCAAAATTTTCACAAAATTTCTCGGTAACTTTCGGTCCCTAATGACATCCGAACGAATATAAACAATCTAAAGATCTCCGTAGGAAACATTAACGCAGTACGAACTAGTCGAGGGAGTAATTATACATTTGTCGATCGTTCGTTAGCACTTCTATCACTACTGTCAGAATTGGATCAGGTCGCATTACTGCGCAGGGATGTTGTATCTGTAATAATATCACTTCCAAGATATTTGAATCTAATTTCTACAAACGCCTGATAATAGCAAAGAAAGTGCTCCAAAGTTTCACAGTTCTCCCTACATGCTCTATATTCGTCTGAATTCGCATGTCCCATTTTGTGTGCCCCTAATCCTATGTGTTCACTCAGAATACGAATCATCATATTAACCTCAGATTTTCTCATTTTGAGTCGTTAGGGTCACCCCTTAATCGAATGATTTTGCGTTCGTCAAGTTAACTACCTCAAGCTCCCTTACCTTTTAAGCTAGTACATTCGCTTTTTCGTTGCCGACTACTCCCGAGTGGCCTGGTATCCATATAATGTAAACCTTACTTCTGGTCGAGTATTCGGTTAAAGTCTTACAAACCAATATTTTAAATTTACCACCTGATATCACCCTAATTGCCTTCTGCCTGTCGGCAACTATGTTAACCCATATTGGCGCTATATTTATTCTAATCCATTCCGTTATTGCTCGGGCTTCTGCCTGTAAGGTAATTTTGTGGTTAGGTAGAGGCTAGTGTATTTCTGTTTCTGGGTCTGAAATATAGAACCCTAGGCGCACTTTGTCCCCCAATTTAGTGCCATCAGTGTAGTAAAGGATTCCTTCGGGTATTTGCTCTAATGTTCCGCAGTGAACAGTGTTTCAATATTCCCGACATATTCTGTGTCTGGTATGTGATCGGTCACGTCCGGTAATTTTGTAAAGCCTTCCGATGTGTCCAGTATACATTGATGACGTGTCCTATAATTACATTTTGCTAGTTCACCTAAAGTTATGAGCCGTTCGGCAGTAAGTGCCTTGGTTGACTCATGGCACCACTTGTACCCAAGCAGCATGTACGCTGAATCTTCATCTCTATGTGTGAAACAAAATCTAGTATAACATAGTACAAATGTCCGCGGTGTCTTCGCTGGAAGGCACGCTCCCGCATTTATTAAATTTTCCATAACTCAGGTGCTAGTTCAAATTACCTCCACTTGAGACTTGAGATGACCATGCCCTCGAATCGCTCGTGAAAAAAGAGATTGCTGTCCATATTATTCAATTTATTGACCTAAATATAACGTTTGCCGTTCCCTTTTAGCAAACCCTTATCGCGGTTACAAAATAGATTAGGTTTTATGAGGCAGCTGCGCTTTGAAAAACTGGTTCAGCATTACTTGGGTCTAGGTTGATCCCTTTATTAAACATTTTCTATAAGAATAAAGTAAAAGCGGTAATGTGGATAGAAAGATTGAAGAGAAAAGGGAGAAAAAAGGGAAATCAGGAAAGATGACATGAATAGAGACATAGTTTGGAAATTACGTCCAGTTTAGGGAGAATTTCGAGTTCACACCCAATTTAACAAGTTCAAGTATGTATTAAGTCATTCCAATTCAACATTGGATATATGTCGTTTCTAGATCTGAACTGTTATAGTGAAGATGGACAGAAGTCCAAATCAAAGTTTGAGATAGAAAGTTTTGAATGGATTCATACTAGGCCACACGATCTAATGATCGAACAAGTATTCTCATACGATCTTGAGAAATAATACAAACAGAATTCGAAATGTATATCTTTTATGGTGGTGGCATTCCACAGAACTCCAGTTCGCAACAACATGGTTCCAGTAAGTGTTCGAGCAAGTATTCTTATACGACCAAAGGTTTTGAGAAATGGTACAAATAGAATTCCAGAATGTGCCTTTTTTGTGACAAATGGTGGAACTTCACAGAACTTATCTATATCCAGCTCGCAACAACATGGTTCCAGCTCTGGTCGCCAATGTTATTACCATGTAATATCATGTCCCCTGACCCAAAAGGGGGTAATGTTTGAATGTCTCGCAATTTCGTTTAGAGACGTCTGGCATTTATGGACAAGACCAAATCAAAGTTTGAGGTAGATAGTTTTGGGTGGATTCATACGAGACTACAGTGATCTAGTGATCGAGCAAGTATTCTCATACGCCCAAAGGTCCTGAGAAATGGTGCAAATGGAATTCGAAAATATGTATTTTTTTGTTACAAGTGGTGGAACTCCACGAACGGATCTATTTCCAATGCGTAACTTCATGGTTCCAGCTCTTGCCAAAGTGTTATTGCCATATGTAATACTATGTCCTTTGACCCAAATAGTAGTTAAGTTTGAAAGTCTCGCCATTTCATTTAGAGACGTCCGGCATTCATGGATAAGTTCAAATCAGAGTTTGAAGAAGCTACAACTATTTAGTGATCGGGCAAGTATTCTCATACTATTTGAGATTCTGAGAAGTAGTACAAACAGAATTCTAAAATTTGCCTTTTTTGTGACATGTAGTGGAATTTCACAGAACTTAATTATATCCAGTTATAAACTACATGGTTCTAGCTGTTTCCAAAGTATCGGCAATGTTATTGCCATATGTTATAACATATCCCTTGAACCGAATAGGGTTAATGTTTGAATGTCTCGACATTTCGTTTAGAGACGTCTGACATTCATGGACCAAAATCAAAGTTTGAGATAGGCAGTTTTAGGTCCTAAGAAATGGTACAAACCGAATTCGAAAATGTTTCTTTTTTGTGACTAAAATATCGGCAATACTATTGTCATAGGTAATTTCATGTCCCTTGACCCAAATAGGGGTATTGTTTGAATGTCTCGCCATTTAGTTTAGAGATATCCGGTATTCATGGATACTACAGTCGTCATTGATTCTAAATTAGATTTTCAACCCCAATTCTTTAATGAAGAGCCATTTTCAAACGAAGAGAGGGATTGTTATGAGTTCGTAAAGATATGTTACTGGAATTGTCTTCAAAGAGTCTGTTGTTGTAGGGGCTCGCCAGAAGATCAGTGATCTTCGTGTGACCCCTAGAATAGGAGTTACATTTGACAGTGATACTCAATCTGACAGCGATGCGTATTTTCATCTGATAGCCAGTTAAGAAGAGGAAACAACGCCTTAGTTTTTCCAAAACTAAAGGTTAAGATATCTCGAAAAGGTTAAAAATATAGAAAAGAGGTAAAATCTTGACTTGAAAATCTATCAGATGACATAGGAATTTCTTAAAATTAAAGTGTTATCACGCTGTTTATTATGTCTTACGTGTAGTTGTGGAAGTTTCAAAACATCAGGACATTTAACTGACCAAGCGGTGTAGGGCAATACATAAACTTATTTCAAAATTTCTCAATAAATTTCAAATTTGTTAAAAAAAATACAAATTTTTCTTTTTTGCATTCAAGTCGGCCTGATAAAACTTAGTTCACCTTTAAATTCTCTTGAAATTTTCTACAAATTTTTATATAGAAGAAAAAAACTAACAATTTTTAAAGTTTTTTTTTATAATGATATTCTTAAAAACATACAACATACAATAACATATTTTCTTACATTAGTGGAATTGTAAAGAAATATTTATTTTCTATTTATACGAGTAAATAAAAATAAAACTAAATAAATAAATACTTAAAGTACGAATAACAAATGTATTTAATAAATAATTATTATTAAAATAATAGCAAAAACTATACTAAAACAACAACAATTGGATAATTAACCAATAGAATATTTATTTTTAAATATTAACAAAACTAAAAACCACAAAAACAACAACAAAATATTCTGACCAATAATAAAATTATTACTTAATTCTAAAAATCTACATTGAAAATGAATCCACAAGAGAAAATCTTTCATAAATTTCGTATTAACTAAAAACAAAATAACATATAA